GGGCAGGAAGTGGCAGAATTTGTGTGACAGTCAGATGTTTTCACCGCATCCCATGATCCTTCATTCTCTTTCCAATAGGAAGGGGGGGGGACACATTCCTTTTCACGGTGCCACTTTACAATAAGGCTCCCTTTTGCCACTTGTAAATGGTAGTAATAATAAAGAAATTAATAAAACGAAAACTGTTATAACTTGCTTATTGTCTATCAATAATTTACAAAGTGTTACAACCTAATTAATAACCAGATTATAAACCATTCATAAACCCTTTATATGGGTAGCCTTATTGTAAAGTCCACCCTTTTCACTGGGCAGCACCCCCACACTGACCCCGGCACCTACTGAGCTCCCATCCTTGTTCCGCGTCAGTGTTGGGGGGTCCTTCGCCACTGCAGACCGAGCGAGTGACGAGCGACATTAAAAAGACGCAGACCTCATTCATGTCTGACAACAGTGGTAGGGATGTTATTTATGATAATACTACTAATATTTTTTATTTCTATGTCATATATGAAAATACTTTTGCGTCAGTAGTAAGCTGTAGAATTCGTTACCAAAAACATGAGCTAATTAAATCTCCCTTATGCCCTCTAGAAACTTCTGTTTATTCATCTGCTGTGTGGTTTTCTTCTTGTCATGGGGGTGTGAGCGTATGCAACAGGCAGCACCCCCTAACCCCCGGATACCTGAGTATTTTAGACTTAATAAACTTGACTTCATAAAATAATTATACTGCACCCCACCCAATGGAATTAATGAATTAGCAATATGATTAAAAACAAATTCAAGAACAAGAAAACAACAGAATATCACATGACAGCAGCTTAAGCAGAAGAGAAGCTTCCGGGACGTGACAGTAAACAGCGGAATGAAGCATTAATCCCAATTTTCTCACCGTGTTCCTAGACAGAAATATTAGAATTTAATTTTGACTTGGACTGTTACCATGAGGATGCAAACTGCTGTTTGACTTGCTTCAGACCAGGAATAGTATGATCGAGCATAAGGTTGGGGAAACACCCCACTGAGACGAAGCTGGCAGGCTGCCTGTCCCAGTCCAGCTACAGGAGGCTCAGTGACATGTGAGGGGGGGTTACCCCCCAGTATGTTATAAAAATAAAGGTGAGCGGGGCTGCAGCCCTGCACAGCGACATGCGGCCCAGGGTGGGAGAGAGGCTGATGCCCCACAAGGGGGGTTCAAGCTTAGGACGCTGAAAGCACAAGGAAGGCGTGACACTGTGCCGTTTATTATTTCCTGGGGCGGGGGGGTGGAACAGCTGTGTCCCTAAACGAGAGTGTGGATCAGGGAGCCCCACAGCGGAGATTCAGAAGCACACGGACGCCTGATGCCGCATCGCTTTCATTTTTAGCCTCCCTCCTGATGTTCTGTAAATTTGTTGTAGTGAACAAATGTCAGCTGCTGTGGATTTCTTGATCGTTTCCTTAAATGTTCATTTCTTTTCCTACAAGGTAAATAAAGTGCAAAATCTGTCCTGCAAAACAATCCTTTGGGACAAACAGTTTTATGCAAGTCTCAAAAAAAAGAAAAAAAAAACTAAAGAAAACTTCCTCCACCAACCTACTAACCCTATTATCTATTCTTTTAATATTACAAGATTAAGAGCAGTCGGCTGTGTATATTATTATTATTATTATTATAATAATAAATGATTAAAAAGAACCTGACCAGCAATGTTCACACACAAGCTACAGCTTATCACAGCTCTCTCTGAGTATTTGTACAGGCCATCTGTGTTAGATCACACGCTTTAAAATGAGAGACAGAGCCCCGAGGGCTGCAGGGCTTCACTATCCTTTGTGTACTGTCCAGTACATCATTCTCGGCTTGGCGCACACACACAAACAAATTAATACATTTACATCGTCTGAGCATTCGAGTTAGTTTATGACAGGAGCACGGCAGGAACAGGCCCCTGCAAGTTAGTCCTCTCATGGCATTTATGTTGCTTTTGCCCGGAAATTCAGACCAGGAAATTCAGACCGGGCACAAAAAATAACTATGGCTATAGATGTGTTTATCGCTACAGATATGCAGCTATACACAATACAAATAATAATATATAATATAAAATCCTGTTATAGTGGACCCGCTTATAACAGAATACAGTCTATAACGGACAACACGGTCTCGGACTATAACGGTCCCAGCCGTGCGCCTTTAAGAACACGCAGAAAAAAGCATCGGATATAGTGGACTCGCATATAAGAGACAAACAATTTGGTCCCCGGGGCTGATTTTGGCTGTAGTTCTGTTCGGCTATAACGGACATGCAGTTCCCCCTACAAGGCGTGTGGCGTGCCGGTGATATCCAGCACAGATACGTAGTCGGGATTATTAATAGTCACGCATCTGGTCAGGTAAAGTTAGATTACTACATGTACAATATAATAATCTATACCACAAGTGTGTCTGCTGGGGTGTGGCATGAGTAAATGGTGTCCTGTAGTTGTGTTCTGGGCATACAGCAACTCTGGATATAACAGACTGTTTTGCCAGGTCCCTTGAAGTCTGTTATAAGTGGATTTTACTGTACTAGAGAAGTATAGTATACTGTAGAGAACTATACAAATATACTATGATGTTATATTTGATTGTTTAAAATTTATTTTGTATATTTATTTTTACAATGTGCAAATAAGGCCTCTTAGGCTTTGTTTTACAGACACATGAACAGTTACATTGCCTTTGGATTGCAACTGTTCTGTATTTGTTTGAAGTTTTAATAATCATTTGAAAACAAGTCTTGTTTTCTCTACTATACTGAAACTGCACCGAATCATGAACCCAGAACCATGGTTTGAACTAAGTGTGTATTTTGTGCATCAGTACGGCCCTAGAGAGTCCCCTGTAGGCGCAGCAATGCCGAAACCCCCTGCGACCAGCCCACGAGGGGCTCCTCGGTGGGAACACCCCCCCCCCCGCCCCCCCTGAGATCCCAGATGATGCAGCAGGGGAGAACAGAAGCTATTTTTAAGCCCAAAAGAGGGCAGTGGCGACCCACAGGAGAGGTCAGGCCATCTGCCCCCTCCCTGGGGGATGCCAGAACATGTAGAGGCAGGTGGGGATCTGACAGCGGCAAGGGGGGTGCGAATCCTGCTCTGTTTACAACCAGACCCCGATGAAGCTCAGTTACTGAGCCACGGTGGGGTCTCTATATGCCCCACATGACCAGTGGAATAGGCTGTGCAGGAAATGAGCAAATATTACCAATCCATAAAAATGTTAAGTCAGATGGGGGGCTCCTAAACATCCCTCCACCCCAATCTTTTCCTGGACAGAAGTGCCTGACCAAGAGGGCATCGAGTTCATTCTCTTTAAATAAAAATCAAACACACTGTACTAATTAGCTTGGCCAATATAGGGTGCATATATTTTTAAAACAAATCACCACACGGAACTGTCATATCCATACCACAAGGTGGCAGCAGAGCATTTCATAACTAACAGTGGCCCAGTTTTACTCATACCCAATGAAATGATCTGTTCATCGCAGTAATTCATTCTCTGAAAAAAGTAAACAGTGATCCTGGCTTTTACAGCAAGAGTGTCAACATAGCCCAAGTGCCTACCTGCAGATAACGGGCCTGGTAGCCTGAGAGCAAGTCTCCGAGGGGAACGACGATCTTCTGCACACTGCGCTGGTGTGAGTGGGCCTGGATATCAGGGCTCTCCTCAGAACGCAGCTCGATGTGAGAGATCAAGAGGTTGGAGATGACCTGCTGCACCGCCTGCAGGGGGCGACACAGAGGTTCGGCACTCAATAGGGGGACTGCGGGGGGAGGGGGGGCTGCTCTTCTCTGCTCTGACACATTGCTCACCTTGATGTCTCCCCCTGGAGTGGCACTTAGGGCCAGGATACGAAACTGCTGAGTCTGGTTTATCAGCTCTCTGACCACCTGCAGCAAACATGTAAGACCACAGTCAGTTACACAGAGCCCTAAGACAGCAGCCCCTGCAAACACACTGCACAGCTGCTAATCCAGTCCCTGCCTTCGCACTGCTGATGGTCAAGGTAAGGATAACCAATCCTTTGCAAGGCACATACACACGCAATCATACACTATGGGTAATTTAGTGACACCAATTAGCATTTAAATATTGGCACAGTACCCAAAAGGAAATCCACACAGGCACACACACACACACACACACACACACACACACACAGAGGGGGGACACTCGAACCCCCAACCTGGGAGGTGTGAGGTAACGGTGTAACCTATTGATTCAATGTGCAGCCTACTGCTGCTACTCTACGTTAAAAAAGCCCTATTCAGTGTTAGCTTTATGCACAATAATATTATAAATAATAACAACAGGAATAATGATTCTGCAGGGGGCGCTTGTGTACCTGACAGTAGGCGTGGTTCCCCAGAGCCTTGTGGGCCTCATCGATGACCAAACACTTGACCTGAGTGGCAGGACAGGCTTCTCGCGACAGGTCATTCACCATCACCTGGGGGGTCAGGAAGAACACCCGGCGTGCCCTCCACAGCTCCCTCCTGCTGCTAGCTTGCGTGCTGCCTGGGGGGGGGCAGATCTTGTTTATGTATGTGTCCTGTAATGGTTTTGGCACCTCAGCCTGGTTCTATATGCCTGGGATAGGTTCCAGGCTTCCAGCAACCACAACCAGATTACGAAAATGTAGTGGATGGATGGAGGGGTGATGAACGGACGTCATAAGCTCTGTAACTAAAACTGTGGACTGTTTAAGTTCTTGACTGTACAAAATTATCAGCATTTTAGGTCCTTAAAATCTACATCCGTGTCTGAGACACTTTTCATACAAGTCATGCCTACCTGTTAACTCCGCCATGTGTCCCTGTGGAATCCCCATCACCTTATAGCATGCCTCGATCTGCTGCGCAACCAGGGGTTTCGTGGGAGCCATGAAGACGATTTTCCCTGACGGATACCACCGATAGAAGTTGTACATTACCACAGCGGCAATGAAGGTCTTTCCTAAGCCGGTGGGCAAACAGACCATGGTGTTCTGGAACAAGGCTGCCTCCGATATCTTCAGCTGGTATTCCCTGATGGGGTAGTTGGTGGGATATACCCACACTTCGGCTGACGAGCTGTCGAAGCCTGGGAGATCGTCCAAGGACGTGCCATTTGGCAAAGCCACTTTTACACTGCCATCCTCTATACTGTAGTCAGCAGCCTGCAATGCCTTCTCCGCTTCGTAAACCGCTATCAACATCAGTTCGTCGTCCTCTTCTTCTTGTTGTTGCTGTCCTACCACCTCTGCACTTCTCACGTCGCGCCCAATCTCGCCCCAAAGTGAACTGCGGGGAGTGACAGATGCGGGATTTGCCGTCCTGTGCTGTTTCCCCGAGCCAGTGCTCGCGCTTGCTTTCCTTCGCCCTGGCGCTTGGTTCCCGCCATCGCTTTTTAAAGTCTTTTTTGAAAGTGAAGTCCCCCATGTTTGGAACAAAGTTCTCTGATTTCCACTACTCATTCTACTATGCTCTCTGTTTTATTGCTAACCGACATGGGTACTTGAAATAATACAAGTTAACACCATGTAATCGACAGGCGGGTAACTAGCTAACAGTTATAACCGGCACTTTATAGTAAAACAGTGAAAGGCAACTACACGTTTTACCTGTTTATCGATTGCTACCTTATCCCAAGATGAAGGTAACCAAAGATTTACTTTAACCTCAAATTCCAAAAACATACCATTTAACGATTCTCCATTCACTATCAAATGTGGCGCTGTTTGGTTACGTCCACAAGGTTAAAGTTCATAATTAGCGTCCAATCCGATTGGAGGGATTTTTACTCGGTCTCGTAGACAGAGCAACCCGCAATTTATACTTTATCCACTAGATGGCAGATCGACGAAATCTCCGGTTATCGCATTTGTAGTTTTTCTCGATTGCTTAGGCACGTTTCATGAAACGTACTTAACGTTCTCATGACTGTAAGATAATTTCTCAGACAGTTTATGTATATAGTACAACACAATGGTTTAGCTGCCAGATATGTCATTCAAAACAATTAACTCAAAAAGCAAATCAAGAGCAAATAATTCTGTCTGTTATAGTCAATGTCACCAAAATGAAAGTACAATCAGCATCGTTTTAACCGAGTCAAAAGGCTTATATATTTTTTGCCAAAATGTCAGTGTAAGTATGCTCCTCAGCTCCGAATGATAGTCGGTTCCCACATCGCAATTGTCATTGACTGATATTTTTTCTTAGCAAAGCAATTGTTATTCATATCAAAGACACCAGTTTCGACATTACATTACAATATATAAAGTTTACTGGTAAGAGAAAGCACTCGAATACACATGTAACGTAAACGGGCATCAAATCTGGGGTCAATCCATCCATCTGTGTGGCGCCACCATCAGGCCAAATTTTAAGGTACGTTTATGCGTATAACGTGAACCGTTTGTCCTAGGGTTGTGACCTTTTTCCCCCCTTAAGCCTTGGATCATCTATATTTGCGCCCATTAGCATTCAAGTCCGCCATATTGGATTTCCCACCATCTTGATATATTCCAAAAACACATACTCACCAGCAGATCTTGCACGTATAACAAGGCACCTATTGCCCTTTTCACAGAGCCCCCCCCCCCCAAAAAAAAACTCTCTCATAGCAGGGCACCATATCTCATTTTCTTCACTGGAAAGGCAGCTATCGGATATTTTTCTTCCTATTACAAGGGCACTCCAACAGGACTAGCACCCTACAGGACACTTCGTATTTTCTACTAGAAAGGTAGCCAGAGTGCACCTCGATTTACCCAATTGAAAAGGCATCTTTATGGCAGCACATCACATTTTGTCCACTGGAAGGGCATCTATTTGGGCACTTCATATTTTCTTGTCGCTTAGGAATAGGAGCTCCCTTTATAGCAGGGAAACCCAACCCAGAGTTTGTGGACCCATACTGGTACCTGGCCAATATCTCACCAGCTACAGAATGCTGAGGGGAGGGGGTTTCCAAAGGGGTTGATTAATTTCCAGTTTTCCAACTACAGTATTCAAGTTTTTGTGAACCCATGTGTTCATGCAGTATGTTTGCATTTAAAAAGATGGAAATGGTGAAACAGCCAATTGATGTCAGGGTCAACACATTTTGTTTTACGTTTTCTACGTTCTTAATGTCAATCTATTTTTAAATCTTTGTCCCCATTTTCAGTCAATTAAAACCTTTTTTTTTCCCTAACAAAAAAGCTTGTATTATCTTTCAGTATTTTCTTGAATATTGTCAAGATTAACACAAAGATGTATGACAAGATCACTTATGGCATACAAAAAGCATTAATGCATGTTATTTGCCAGCCTCACTGTCAAGACAAAGTGTGAACACACATGGCTAATAAACCTCATTATGACTATTTGCTAAATTGATTAAATCCAACAATAATTACTATTATAGAACCATTTCCTTGTCAATATTCACATATGCAATAAACACAGCATTTCCTAACTTCTGTTCCAACAGAAGTATATCCGGTGTTACCTACTCTCTCTAACAGCAGCCTTTAAGTGAAAGGCACACACACTTTGGTCGTCACCATTTGGTTAAAACCATTTTCAGTATACGGACTGATCATAATCACAATTATTTTAGCTTAAGGTGGGTGGGGGAAGGTAACTGGACCAAGCCATCACCCAAGCATAGGGGAGACCCAGACAGGAGGACTGATTTAGCATTAGAGCCCTTCTTGCCAGAGAAAGGCACCACATCCACAAAGCTGTGGTTGTACTGGGTGATCTTTTTCCTGTTTTCCCATTTATCATCTTGGGTTATTGGATGAGCCATTAGCTGAATGTCAAAATGCTAATGAGAGCCTTTTACTGTCTTGCACACCCAGAACACAGATCCAAGCTGAAGATTGCGAGACCTTACCTTTCATCATAAAAGCCCTTTCTACTTCAGAAATAAGTTATACCAGATATACCCACAGTTTAAATTCAGATCAAAAAGGCAGTAAATGAAGGAAAGGTTCATTTTATTTGTTTTTTACAAATTGAAACATCAAAACTAATCATCAGAAATTAAAAGGAACCCATCTTAAATGACAACCGTCAAAACATGGAGGGAGAAAACCCCACAATTTATGGTCTACGCTTGCCACAGCTATCCAACACACCGCTTTCTCAGCAGCAAAGCCAAATGATCTTTAGAAAAAAATAAAGCGAGGGGGGTGGGGTGGGGGTCAGAGGGCATGTGTCACCAATGGGAAGAGGAAGCTGCGTTGTAGGACGGGGTAGAAATTTAACATTTTCATCTCCCAGTATCTTCTGATCAGGTGGGAGGGGGAGGATAGTACTGTCCATAACCCCACGGGTTCTGGTAGTTGTATTGCTGAAAAAAAAGAGGGGCATATTAAGGGCACAGATTAACAGCAGGCTACGACACTGCAAGGCGTGCATACACAAATACCGACAGACAGGTCAAACCCAAGCTGTCCCCGCAGTGTTCAGGACTAACCTGGTACCAGTTGTAATTGTAGGCTGAATGATTGGCCTGCATATCAGGCATCATGTGCCCCTGGTTCATGCCGTGCTCGTCCATGCGCTGTTTCTTAAGGTCCGGCTCCTGAGAGCTGCAAAGTATATCACTTAATGCTTAACTAGTAGATCCGGGCTGACAAATTAATTTTACGTTAGTGAAACCCGTTCAGCGATTCAGCAAGGCTTTATAATGCAGTCGACAGCAACCTTACCCATTCTCAGCCTTCCTCTTTGAAGATTCCTGTTCTTTCAGGAGCTTCTGATGTTCCTCATAAGCAGCCACAAGCCTGCAGTTTGAATTAAAAGACGAGGTATTAAAAGGAGCACTTAGCCAACTGGTAAAGATGAAGGTGCCACACACACAAGGGGCATGACAGGCAAATACACACGTGTTAACGTCGCTGCCGAAGTCCTCAAGGAATTCCACTTTGCGCTGGGAGAAGGTGAGGCGGGACTCAAGGTGCATGGGGCTGCTTAGAGCTCTGTCGAAGCAGGCCAGAATGTCCTCCTCGCTCTGTCGCACATCCCCACTGTACTCCAGCTCAAGAAGATTCAGGTAAAGCCTGGGGCTCATCTGAAAGCGTTTCAATCAGTAAATACAATTCAGTTATCAGTTTTGATCTTTCTAGATACATAGATACAAAAGCGTAGTCAGGCGTAGAGATTTTCAAAACCTGTGGGTGGAAGGGGCAAAGCATCGTTATTGAACACACACAGGCGAACAATTGCATTTCACTGCAAATTCACTGACACCCAAGTCTCAAGCACTGCCAGTGAGCTTTGGTGTGACAGCTGTACAAACAGTCACCAGAACACCGGTAATGTCTGTAAACAGTTACTGGGAGGAAAAAAAAAATCCTTGTTGGTTGTGCTGCACAGTTCACATTCCACCAGGTCTGTATTTAGTACAGATTGACACACTGGCCCTGCTTCTAGGCCAGGAATTCCTGCAACGGTTACTCCATCCACAGAACACTTTACAATCCATACTCACAAAATAACGGAAGGGGGCTCTTCTCATTACTCATTTGAGGGAATGGGGTCAGCCTCACCTTATCCTTCTCAATAGCCTCGAGCAGTACTTTCCTGGCCTTCTGCAAGCTTTTCTGCACCTTGAAAAGGTGCCGCGCCAGCTTGATAGAATAGAAGGAGGACTCGCTGGCATTCTTTGCATTCTCAATGGCATCCCGCAGCAGCGCCTCTGCGCCCTCCAGGTTTCCATGGCGACGCTCCAGGCTGACCCGACGCAACCTCACCATGGCCAGTCCAGGCACCGCCTCTTCCACGGTCTTCAGGATACCACGTGCCTCCTCTATGTTGCCTAAAGCATGGAACAGGGGTAAGGAGGAGGAAATGCAGAGCACCCAATCCAAGCCTCACCATGTCGCGCACAAGCAAGTAGCCACAGACATATCTACACTCCAACTGAAACGCAAATGAAAATTAGGCAAGCAATCTATATAAACTGCAACACAAACATTCAATCTCATGTCAGTTCCAGAAGACGGAACCGCGATCCCCCTTCAAGCCAACCTACTGTGATCACTGCAGGTGCAAACTGTTCGGCTCTCACTATATTACAAAACTATACATTTGAAACATTAAAATTAATGTTACAAAATCAAATTATTCTATTTATTGTTAAGGTACACTTCCACGCATTTTATTGTATTCAAACGGCATCCCACATGACTATTTTGGTCCAATCCTGATCAAGTGATCACACCTGTGGTTAACGCTATATGGAAAATAGGCCTCTAGTGTTCTAAATTGTCTACGATGAAAATACACCGCCCCCCTAAAAAAAAAAACATTGCTCAAGAATCAAGGTCTGAGCAGAACTGTGGATCTGGAGAACCGTTACACCCCTACCATAACGAATAATGCTAGCAAACCCTGATTTTACAATAAAACTGCTTGCAGTAACAGGGGGTATAAACTGTCACAAAGGCTTGCACTTACCCTGCTGCTCCTCGAAGGCGCCCCACAGCAGGTGAATGGTCGGCTTCTTCGGCAGGTGGATCATACAGGCTCTCTTGAAAACATTGCGCACGCCTTCGATGCTGTGGTTTTCCATGTACTTTGCATACTTTAAGAAGGGATGGGGTAGGGAGATCAGAAAGATAAAAGGCAAAATATAATACATGAATACACCGCCGCTCCCAGTCCCCGCACGAGAATACATTGACAGAACATTTAAAATTCTTTTAAACCCATCAGCACCTTCATCGAACCATAAAGATTAGTTTCT